GGGGGGGGGGGGGGGGGGGGGCGTCGGCAAGGAAGGTGGTGCCGCCGTGCCAGCAAGAGCTCCCGTTCTCGAAAGCAACTGGACGACGCTGGTCGTCATAAGCCCGAGGGCTTTGCCGTAGGTGACGTGAGATATCACACCGGCTGGACGGAATTCAAAGCTCGATTTCTCAAGAGCAGATGGAGTGGCGATGCCGAAACCGGCGGCGTTGGAGCCGTCTTGTCGAGAGCTTTCCGAAAAACGTTTTGCATCATTTATGAATCCTCTTCGTCGTGAAGTAATCGAGCATTGGAAATCGGTCCAGGGTGTGTGGCATCTTGCGTCTCCCACCGTGTTATGATCGTCGAAACCCGCACTCAACATGGAGCGGGTTACAGACGCTGTTGCAAAATTTTCCAATAGGTACCGGAGATCATGCGGTCTCAGCGGAGGGCTTTGGAAAAACGTCCTGACTCGAAAAAACACATGAATAAACGAGAGATCTACAAGTACGACGCCCCGATCGCGCGGTTCGCACGTAGTAGGTAGCCGAAAGAGCATACAAGAATCAAGGGAAACGCTGAGATGGAGGCTTGGTCCCCTGGATGTGCGCGCCGTTACGTACAACCCCCCCCCCCGCATCCAGCGCACCCCCGAAGCGGCACAACCTGGATCACGCCGCACTGTATAAACACAAAACCCACCGCGAACTTGAGAGGGATTCCGTTGCGGCAGCCCGACATGTCCCGCAGCTCCTCCACCATACCGTCCCTGTCGCAGGTAGGCAGGGAGAGACAAGACGACTGACTGCCTTTGTTGTTGCGAAAACAGAAAAAAGAAGGGTTCCGTGCATCTCGCAGAAAAAAAAAAGAAGATAAAAAACGAAGCTGGCGAGAAACGAAGACTCCGTCGCCTCACCGGCACGTGTGGGGGGGGGTAAACCTTGGGCAACGCACAACTTACACCACATCACAGCAGCACCCTACTGCTGAAGATCCCACGTGCCACACACCCCACGGCGTCGTAAGTCGCGAGATACACACACCGCCGTGGCACAACCTGCCGTACCCGTGGAGTGTGTGTGTTACCACACCGCAGCAGGAAAAATACCGTAAGCTTTCACACACCCAGGTGTCTGTGCAGCAATGCCGCACGGCCGTCTACCGTTGGAGGCGGCGCAAAAAGGAGCAAAGTTGTCGACTTTTGGTCGAGGCTCATATACAGCTGCGGGTGCTTCTTTCCTGCTACGTCTAACCTGTTGCGCCATACATTGTCATGTCATGTGCCAGACAATGCACCACTAATTTGCTGTGCGAATGCGACACCTACCTGACTTCCGTGACATCCTCGAACACCTGAAACACGCCTTCCAGCTCCGACAGCACCCCCCGCGCGTGCCCGTCGAAACCCACCGCCTGCCCGCAGCAGTAGTTGTTACGGTCTGTTAGTGACTCTTCTTACATGTCGAAGGCTTTTGCGCCCTCTGATTGGTCGAGCAGTGGGTCGAGCGTTCGGTTTCCGCATTCCGAGAACGCGGCGCAGCCGTGTTCTCCCCAGTCCTCGGACGACAGGCCGTCCGTTGGCCGTGGGTCAGGGAGGGCTAGGGTTAGGGTTGGGTTGGGTTGGGTTGGCCACACGCGTGTGACACGTCCCTTGCTGCGGAGCCATTTTTTTTTTTTTTGGTCTTCATTTCAAATCAGAGATTACAGCACTTGTGCCGTTTACTCCAACCCGTGGTCACACAGACGAGCCCCTCTCTACCCTCCCCCTCTGCGGTACTTTGCCTTCGATTTTTCATGCGAGAAGAGTTCAGCACTCTCTTCCCTCTATGGTTCAACGAAAAACACCCCATCTCCTGTAAGGCCCCCTGTACAATCCTGGATTGATGGATTGATGCCAAAATTATCACTCGCCCCCCTTGGAGGAGCATACCGAAGTTTGTCCCGCGTGCGCGCCGCCTATCATGGGATTCCGGACCAGAACCGCTGACAACGTGCTCGTGTTCGCCTCGGAATCGACGGCTCTCCTTTGTCCTTACAGCAGTACCGTACTTTTTCTCGCGTTAAAAATCGAAGGCAATCACCGCAGGACGGGTGGGGTGGGGGAGGAACCCTTCTGTGTGACTGATCACGGGTTGGATACTGTATACGACACAAGATAACACACCCCCTGGACCGATTTTCAAAGCTCGATTACGCCACAACGAAGAGGATGCATAAACGAAACGATACCCTTTCGGAGAGCTCTCGACCAGACGGCTTCAACGCCCCCGTTTTCGGCGTTGCGACTCTTTCTGCTGTTGATAAATCGAGCTTTCAAAATCGGTCGAGGGGGTGTGTTATCTTGTGTCGTATACGGTGGCTCCTACCCGGCCGTGAGCTGTGAGCGCTGATAACAAAGTGTCTGAAAAAACAAAATGTAGATAATAATATACCTTGGCCGTTTCGAGCTGGTCCGGGAACGACACCTCCATCTTCTTCCTCATCTTGCCGTAGTCGGGGTTTCGAAGGCAAAGAGGCTTCGCCTGCCCCTGCCCGTTCGGCTGGAGCGTGTGGTGCTCCAGGAAGGAGAGCCGAGCCATCACGCCCTCCGCAGCGCGCCGGAGAACATGACACCTGCACCAGCCGTAGCAGCCGTAGCAGCAACAGAAGCAGCGGTTATTAGGAAAAGCGAACAAGAGACGCGCGTGGCTTTGAAGATGGATGGAAGCGACGACAGAGAGAGCGTTGCAAAGCTCGGCGCTATCTTCCTCCAAGCGCTTGACGGGTAGCCTCGATTTCTGGATGAAAAACGTGTCGTGCGCGCGCACAAGACACAACGGAGTTGTTGCATGGCCGTTCCTCTTCCTTGCGCAACCACCCGCCTGTTGGAGCGGCAACCGAACTCGAACAACACTGAGCTGGCCTGTTCGGGCTTTGGGTTTTTCTTGAGGCAGGCCTCGTTCAAATGGTTTGGACAACCAAACCATCTGCACGGGCTATTCCTGCCCGCGGGAAGAAACATTCCAAGCAACCGATGTCAACGGGACCAATTAGGCCCCTGATGTTGTGCTGATGATCCGGATCATGACGTGCATCCGAGAACAAACATTGTTGACGGACGAACATTGTATGCTCTGTGATACGTAAGAATCTAAACGGCAAGGACGTTTGACTCCGTGGTTGGTGAGACTCTGTATATGGTGTCCTTCAATACCGATTATTGGGCTAGCCTGTCACCCCGCAGGGTCCCCTGTCTCTTCGCCACTGAGCGGTGGGAGAATAGTCTACAGGGGAGTAGGGAGTACAACAGTCGGGGGGCCTCTATAGTGCGGGTTATATATGCGGGTGAAATTGGCTGGAACAGATGGAATATGACCAATATGGTCAAAAAGTGCGGGTGCCCACTGTAGTGCGGGTCGAAGCGCTTGGCACTACATTGTACACACATACCGCACTACTGTATAGAGGGCTCCGACTGCAGTGCATGAAGACAACAACAAGACGACAGCGCATACCCACTTCACGCCACGCACACGAGGATAAAAGGTATGTACAGCAGAATAGAACCAGAGTAAGGGCGGAGCTCTCGCACTTGCCGTGGGGTAGGCTCGATAGTCAAAGACACTCGCACTGGCCGTTGTTGATGTTACATCTACAACCTTCATCGAAATCACACAGCACCAAGCATATTTTTGCTCTGTGGTCGCCTCCTTAGATTTTGCACAACAACAGCGGAGCAGTACCCAAGGGAGAAGGCAATAACTGTTGTGGGGCAACAAGGCAACTTTGACTGCTGTGGGCCCTTTTGCTGTATACCATTAACCCAACTCCATGTTGCTAAGCGGGTAGTGTGGATAAAAACGAAAGATGATTGCGCCGCCGTTGCGAGCGTGGAAGAACACAGGTGCAATTAGAGAAACAGCAGAGACTGTTGTAGCAATAATGATCCAAAGACAATTTCGAGACGGAGTTATTCACACAAATTTGAACGGCAACACACAACACAGGTAAGCAATACAGCAGCAGTAATTCCTGAGCGTGTAAAATGCGGTCTCGAAGTTGGTAAAGGTCGAGTCCCTTTGCTGTGTTTCCGCCGCTGGCTACTTTTTCGCTGCCTTTTTTCGCTCACCTCCCTATTTGTTGACTGGAATCAGACGACATCGCCTACTCTTGCAGCTGAGCACACAAATGGGTGGCCACCGACGAAAGCACTCCCCAACAGCGGGCGATTAAAGCAACGTTCCACCCGGCTCTGTGCTCTTCGGGTCGGCTGCGCTGCGCAGCCAGCAGCCAGCTGCAGCAGGGCTGAGGGTGTGTGTCTAACCCCCCCTGCCCGTGTCCTGTTCCGCCGATGATTCTTCGTCACCCCCAAATCTTCAAATCTCCGAATCTTAATCTTCTGCTCTGTGTTGGCTGTAGGTGCTACGTTGGGTGTACGGGTACGGTGAGATGAGGGAAGATGAGCAAGATGAAGATGATTTCAAGGGCAGGGTCCTCTTGAGGGTCGAAAATATTCTCTACTCCTGGTCTTTTAAGGATGAAAGTGTGTCATGAGGAACAGATGAGTAGATCACTGTTTGGAGATTGCGGAGATTGTATTCGGAGATCGCACCCCCCTTGCGAGCTTGCCAGGCGTGCGTCAAACCTCATGTGCGCAGAAAAGGAGATACAGCACCAGCACCACCAACGGCACCAACTCACACTGAACACCTCCCTTCGTTCGTAGAGAATTCGGGCGTGGGGAAGCGTGAAAGAGAAGTTCGAAGAGCCAGGTTCGTAACAACCTTTGTTGTGGAATACGGTTGCCGACAAGCACTGCTGCTGCGGAAGAACGACCGTGGCAGTATATCCGTGCTCTTCGCCGAGGCTGTAACGCTTCGTGAGCGCTTCGTGTTCTCCCTTGGTTTCTTAGTTGTGATGTTACTTGTTCAACCCTGTCGTAAGCTGTTGGTTGTCAAAGCTGCTGTGTCTCAAAATCTCAAAGGCAACCCGTGTCCAAAGACTGATCACTCTTTTCACTCTTTTAAGAATATTTACATGTACAATACAGTACCATAGTAGCTCTCTTTCGGTTTCGGCATCGACTGACCATGAAACGCACATCATGCGTACACAGACTGTACGCTCGCACTGCTTGTTGTTCTGGCACACCACCTCAAGTTTGCTTTCCTGAATCAATGACTTGGCAGCAACGTTTCGCCTATCGTTGTTGTCTAAGGGTGTGTATACGTTGATGTGGAGAAATAGTCGTGCCGCATTCATACGAGTGGGTCCCTAGCCCCAGAGACATGTTCACTGAGCAATCGCTGCTTTATCCTCATGTGCTGGGATTGGTAAGTAGAGACTGATATTCACGTACGCGGTGACGCATCCTGCACATCGTCAGGAGTCACAGCTTGAAAAGGTGCTTGTCTGTATGCCTAACTTCAACTTCCTTCCGTACCATGTAACCCACCCAAAAGGTGCTTGTCTGTATGCCTTACTTCAGCTTCCTTCCGTACCATGTAACCCAAGCCGTGAGATCTACGTTACATAATTCCAGCTGCAGCAGCAGCAGCGTAGCATTAACCCATGCGCAGTTCAGCGGGCGCACGCTTACCTATGCATGCAGACGTTTCGCCCATGTTCGTGTTATTTTCAAGCGATTTTCAGAAGCGTCGTATCCCTAGCCCTATGCTTTGTGCAACGACCAAAAGCTCTGGTAGGGTTTTTCACCACCAAACGTACTGCTGCTGTAGCTCATGTTTGAAATTCTGCGCAGTTTGACGGCCAGTCGAGATAAAATATGCACGCTTCCACCGGCTTTGCACGCGAGGGCAGCCCGCAGCCGGGGCCGGGCGTGCGGATTGAAGGACAAGCTCAACAACAACCAGTGACTGCAATATAACAGCAGCAGCAGCAGCAGCAACAACAACGACACCCACAGCCACAGCAACGACAACAACCACCAACCACCTCCCCGCCTCCATTTCCCTTACACACCCAACGCAGCAGCGCACACAAGGTGCGAGCTACATCACAATCACGCCGGTCCTCGCTACGGCGGAAGAAGAAGAAAGAGCAGAAGAAGCATGCCTGGGCCAGGGGGTGGGGGTGGGTTCGGTGGCGGTGGGGGTGGGTTCGGTGGCGGGTTTGGAGGCGGGGGGCCCGGTGGCTTTGGGGGGGGACCGGGGGGGTTCGGCGGGCCTGGAAGGGGGTTCGGCGGGCCTGGGTGGGGCTTCGGAGGCCCCGGGTTTTTCGGCGGTGGATGGCCGTTCATCTGGGGCGGCCCAGTCATGGGACCGTGGGGATTGCCAGTGAGTTCCTTCAGGCGCTTGTGTGAAGTGTTTGGATGTATGCATATGCATTCGTGTATGTACGTGTATTGCTATCGCCTGCCAATCGTGGAACAATTTTTCAACCTTCCCTCTCCATTTCTTTTCGAGCATGATATGCTCTCTCCCTCTCGGAACGGATGTCATCTACCGTATATAAGGTAGTAATTTTTTGGATATTTTGCCCTGGGTGCTGCACCAGGCAAGAGCAAGAAACGAGAAACGTGGGTAAGCACGCATGCCGACACCTATCGTGAGCTGGTCGAGGGGAATGTGACAACGACTCTTTTTTTAGTGTGAAACGACGAGCTTTAACGCCTTTTCAAGACTTGTGGAAGTTTTCTTGAATCCAAGGATAGAGTCTGATTGGGCTGGTTTTTGTCATTTTTCAACGAGAGTGTTCGTCTGGAAGGGTTCGCAGAATCGAATCGAGCCAACGGTGAACAAAAAAAATCCCATAATTTCAACAAGGTACCGTTGAATGAACCGGTTAGCAGCTAGCCGAAATGATGCAAAAACAACACCCACACACCTCTTCTCCGAAACCGTTCTAATTCGATGGGTTTTTTTTTGTGTGTTTTTTGGTGTGTGGTTCCCGGGAGCGGTCCTGTTGATGTGTGTGTCAGGCGATTATATATATTGCGTCCCCAAAACTGAAAAAAGAAAAAAAAACAATAACGCAGCATTACACACAGAAAACATGTCATAAAGTATTTCTTGTTTCGCTCCTGTTGCAGATTGAAAAATACCCAACCAAAGACGCAAGATCACACACAACTACATGTACATGTAAGATTTGGTGTTTCGCCCGCGTTGCAGCTTGTTCTATACGGAGGTTGACGGCCGAGGTCGTGCCACAGCAGAGCGTGTCGTGTTTTTTTTGTCCACAAAGAGTCTACCGCCCGTCGCTGCAAGCGGTTCGCAACCCGTTGTCACCGTGTCTACATCGGCCGCAGCTCGAGCTTGATTTCAACAGGCGTTACAATCGTGGTCCCGGTTTAGTTTAGCGGTCCACAGTGTCACAATACTTCGAAGTATGTTATTACCGCTACTGAGGGCATCGCCGCTAAACAGGATTGGCAGTCATGTGGTATGTAGTTTGACTACCGAGGTGCATGCGCGCCACGAGATTTTGGAACCGCTGTTCAGGGCATCCCTCTAAACAGGGATCGGCTAGACCGGGACCACGACAGTATAGTGTTTTCTCTCTTTGTTCCCGCTCTCGGAAACGGTTGGGTCGGCCGCGTTCCAAGCGGATACGCGGATTGGAGGGGGGGGGACTGCTGTGCGCGCTCGCGCGCAAATTATCCCGGACCCTTCCCGATGTGCGTAGCACCGTAGCAAGCTCCATGTGTGTGAGAATCACGCAATGCATTCTTCTCTGCCACATCAGTACCCGTCCATCGCGTTAAGAAAGCAAGGAGATTTAGCTTGTCATTCGTCACCCGGCGTTTGCTCGTTTTTTCGACTTGTGTGCGTGTGTGTGTTTTTTTTTTTATCTTTTTCACAGTACAATTGAACACGAAAATCGTCTCAGCCTGTTTTTGCTGGCACCGCCGTCTCGTTTTTTCTTGTTCTTTTTCCTTCCAAAGTGGTTCTGCTGGCCGATCTTCGTGCTCTTGATCCCGTACGTGATCTTGGTGACGATCGGGGTGTTGGTGATCCAGTACGCCCTCCCGTGGTGCACGACGGAAACTCCTGACGGCCGCGAAACGACGGTGAGACGAGGTCGAAGCTGTACCGTAGCACGGATGGTTTATTGATGAAATTATTTTGTGGGCTTGTTTGGTCCCCCAGACGGCCACACGGTGTGCGTTCTTTTTTTTTGGAGGGGGAGGGCACCGTGACATGTGTTTTTTTCCCGCGCAGAAAACCACTCAGGCGCAAGCCGGCGCGGTAGCAGAGGTTTTCAACAAGCGCGTGTGCGAAGGGGATCAGCAAAATCGTGGGTTGCCTTGCGTTGTGTCCGTTCTGTTTTTTCTGCCGTCTCCTCTCGGCGTACAGTTGGGGCCCGCCATCAGAAAAAAACTTGTGGAGTGAAATACGTGGCTCAGGTTCTTACGACAAGATTTCAAGAAACAAGCCTCAGAGTTGGGGATCCTACACAACACCCCGTAGCAGTGGCCCATGGTTGAAGGGGGGTGGCGACGAAAACGACTCTGAGGGCCTCGGCCCAATCTTGACGTCACGTATATCATCGGCGGTCTCCCCCAAACTTCTCTTGCTGTGTCCGCTTGAGTATTACGTTCTCTCCGGATGTCGTCATAAAAATGATGTTGTCGAATACTTCTTTGGGTGACACCCCCCCCCCCCCCCCCTGGGCGCGCCAGGAACAAAATGAATGCCCCCGGGACCAAACCCCCGGGGCCCTCCTCTTGGGTATTCTGGTGG